TCCTCGTAAGCCATATTTTCGATTTTTCCTCTTTCCTCTCTCTTTTGTGTACCTTCTTTTGCTCTTTTACACCCATAGGTCTTGTGGGTGATGCGCACAAATCGAATTAGAGAAATATGCAGCATAGGATGCAGGGGTCAGGGCATAGCTGCGCTCGGTTTTTAGGGCGTACCCCCTTAACGCCACTGAAAAACAAATGAAATGTGATGAAATAAACAATAAAATTGATATATATTAGCTTAAGCATCACTTGTAACGCGGAGGGAAGGCCGGAGGACCTGTGCGACTGTTGGAATATGTTCCTGGAGCTGCGGCAGACAATCACTCAAACCAAAAAACAATGCTTTATTTAAAAAAAAAAAAAATAAAGCAAATAAAAAACACATTCAGAAACTTAAACTAACCAAGAATTGCGGGAGAGCCGGCAAGAGCTTTGAGCTGCGTGGGCGCCAGCAGCACCTCCAAGCTGCCCGCCGCACAATTATTTTAAACACAAAAACAATAACCGTTTCATTTCTGATCACATTAAATATCACGGAGCGAGGAACTCCAGTCAGAAGACGGGACACTTGCATATCACGTGGAATCGAAGGGCAACTGAGCAAGACGAAGGGGTTTAGCCGGCAGCTTCGTTTCCTTGATGTTAACACCTCGTTCCTTTTGCAACACATTAAATATGAACGAAAAACACCAGACCAAGAGGATTTTAGATCTCATCAATGTGTCAAACAAGTTACGAGCGTACCCTATCGAAACATCACAGTTGGATAGTGAGGAAATGTGTTGGTGTAGCGATTCAGCTATTTGTTACCCGAGATTATTTGCTGAATGCAATTCGCAACGAGAAAGAAGCGGTAAATGAGGATAAAATACGTGAAGCAATTGCTCGACTTGTTGCTGTCATGGAAAACGTTTATACTCGCGTACAGCGGATTTATGAAAGCCGAAATATCCTGGATTTGCCTTAGCTCCCTCACCAAAGTTCTCTCACGTATGTACATTCTATATTTGATAGTTCTAGCATAATATTTGTGGCTTTTTTTTCACTTTCCGAATGATTCTCCTAGCATTTTTACATCTTATGCTACTTAAGATGTCGGTGCCATAATGATGACCTGTTTCTCATGCACACATCCGGATATGTCAGTGCT